TACCGGTAAGTTTTGTGGCTTAGTCGCCACAGCTCGGAGATCGGACAGGCACTTATTCGTAATAATTTTTATTTTGGGCCCTCATTCGTAATTATTTTCATTTTCGGTCCTTTATATGTAAATTCCCCTAGTTTTTATTATAAACTAACACTTATAATATTAACAGGTGTGACATATTTCCTGACTGATATAGTTTTAAAAGTTTTGATCCAAATCTTATTTGGTAATATGTAGATTAAAGAATCGATGAATCGGTTCATACTTAAAATCTACAAGGCAACATGAGAGACACAAGATCAATATTATCAGCGAAATTAAACATAAAGCCTGGTCAGATTAAAAAGTTACAAGATGCCGGCTACAAATTTCTAGAAGATTTAAAAGAAGCATCTCCACTTACTTTGAGCAAAGGTACATACTATATTTATTTAACGCGTCTCGCGTTCTGGATCCAGTAATCTAACGCGTAATAAAATCACAAAATTACTAAGATATAGGGGTATCAGTACAAGAAGCCCTTAGTATAATTCGACAAATTAAGAGTATGTGTTTAACATCTGCATTAAAAACTGCACGACGCGTTTTACTTTATGGGTATACTGTTTTCGTATTTAGATGATAAACTACCATCCGCTAGCCTTACTTCAATTATCAGACGGGAGACATATGCGATACCTACTTTTTGCGATGGTATTGATAAATTGCTCGGAGGGAAAGGTGTTGCATTAGGAAAAATAATAGAATTCTGTGGAATTCCCGGGATTGGCAAAACACAGATGGGGTAACTAATAAATGCTATGGTTGATTATTTGGTTTAATAGTCAATAATAACCTATTTTATTATGTTAAACATGTTAAAGAATTCAACTTTCTATTAATGTTCAAATACCTCGAAGCTTATCCGGACCCGAGGGTGAAGCTGTATATATTGGTATGTTGAATCACAATTATATACGCATATTTATTTATTTTGGATACTCATGTAGGTTTACCATCGTTATTATAAAGATACAGAAGGTAGTTTCATAATTCAACGCGTTGCTGAAATAGCAAACGGTACTATCACGAGACTTAACGAGACGGTCGAAGGTATGATCACGTAATAATAGATTTAAATATGGAACAATAACTTCAATGGATTATTTTACCAATAATAGGATCACCATTTAATCTCGAAACTA